AATGGAGTCATACACCTAATTATTGAAATAAATGCATCTGTATTTAAAAATAACTTTTTGTGTAATGTAGCTCAACAACAAAGCTCAGTAAATTTAATGTGGTCACAGCTGGGAGATGCCAGTGTTGGGATAAAATCTAGCTCTGTTTTATATGAAGTCTGTTTTTGTTGCCTTTATCATGAAAAAAAAAAAAAAAAAAAAAAAAAAACCAAACCAAAAAAAAAAAAAAAATGGAAGAGGGCAGTTGTTAGCTGTCACAACACCTGGTTCAATTGATTAGTCACATAATAAATGTTCTTTGTTCTAATAAATGACAAAGAAAGAAGGATGGTTGGTGACGAGGTTTCAGAGGCGATGGAAACAGTTGGGGGCAAGAGAAGAGAAGGGACTCCCTCCCTCCCTCCCTTCCTTCCTTTCTTCCTTCCTTCCTTCCTTCCCTGCTCCCACCCTCTCCCTGTCACTCTTTTGTGATAAAGTCAACCAAATACAGGTTCACTTAAACAGAGCTAATTTTATCCCAACACTGGCATCCCCCAGCTGTGACCACATTAAATTTATTGAGCTTTGTTGGTGAGCTACATTAAGAATGGGAGGACTATCTGGATCACTCTGGAGGCAGAAGCAGGCCCTTATCTATGAATTTCAAGCCAGCCAGGGCTACATAGTGAAATTCTGTCTTAAACTAAACAAACAAAACCCTAGTGGGCCATGGACCACTCCTAAGTAACACTGCACACAGCTCTAATCCTAGCACTTGGGAGGTGGGCCATGGACCACTCCTAAGTAACACTGCACACAGCTCTAATCCTAGTTCTTGGGGGGCAGGTTTTTTTTGTTGTCATTTTTTTTTTTTTTTTTTTTTTGAAATAAGGTCTTGCTATACGACCTGGCACTTAACTATGTGCCCAAAGCTAGGCTTGTAAATGCAGCAATCCTTCTGCCTCAGCCTCCTGAGAGCTGGGATTACAGGGAGTGGTGGTTTGAATGAGAATGGCCTCCACAGGCTCAAGTATTTGAATGCTTAGTCAATCAGTTGATGTGCTGTTTGGGAAGGATTTGGAGGTGTGGCTTTGTTGGAGGTGGTGTGGCTTTGCTGGAGGAGGTATGTCACTGGAAATGTGAGGTTTAAAAACCTTTGCCAGGCTCAGTATCTCTCTATTTGCTGCATATCAGCATGTAAAGTTCTCAGCTGCTGCCCCAGAGCCATACCTTAATAATAATGGACTAACCCTCTGAAACTATGAGCAGGCCCTTGATTAAATGCTTTCTTTTATAAGAGTTGCCAAGGTGTCTCTTCACAGCAGAAGCCAACAGTAAGACAAAGGTGTGAGCCACCATGTCTAGTGAGGCAGTGGGAATTGTGTCAGCATACTGGAATATTTTAGAGGGATGGAAATGTTCTCAACTGGACTCATGGCCTGGACTCATGGCCATGGTTACCAAAACTACCAAGTTGTGCAAGGCATGGATTCTGTATTGGGTTACTCCTCAGTAAGGCCATTAGTCATTTTTAATAAAATAAAGATCTTGATCTCTAAAAGGATGGAATTATAGGGAGCAAATGGCATTGAGGGTAGACTTTAAAAGCTGGTTCCAGAGTCCCAAGCAGCCCAGTATAGAGAAGAGCATTCATTGTGTCCTAGAGACTGGAAATGTCTGTGAGAGACTAAGAGACTGACAGACGACTTAGTCAGTTTGGCAAAAATTCGTCTTAGAATGCTACTGAGAAGTGAAACTTGGCAGGTGGGCCAGGGGTGGGGTGTGGGTGAATGCATAAACCTATCATCCCAGTGGAGGATGGAGAGTTTGAGGCCAGCCTGAGCTACTTACCCAGTTCAAAGCCATCATGGGTACACAGGACGACATCTTGTTTCAAAAACAAACAAACAAAACAAAACAAAATAGCATATAGGAAAAAGCCAAAAGTGAGAGGAGCAAAATTGTGTTAGAAAGATTTGTTTTGTTTGCTTGTTTTTTGAGACAGGGTCTCTGTGTAGTTCTGACTGCCTCTGTCAATCAGGTCAGCCTCAAACTCAACAGAGATCCACCTGCCTCCACCTCTGCAAGCCAATCAATCCCCAGTGACCTGCCTCATATTCCTGCTGAAGGCTGCCAGGGCCTACACTAAACTCATGTTGTACAACTCTAGATACCAAGCTGGCTTCTTTTCGTTTGGGGGCTTTTGTTTTGTTTGTTTGTTTGTTTTGAGACAGAGTTTCTCTATCCCTGGCTGTCCTGGATCTCACTCAGTAGATCAGGCTGGCTTGGAACTCACAGAGATTCACCTGCCTCTGCCTCCCGAGTGCTGGGATTAAAGGCATGCGCCACCACCGCCTGGCAGAACCTTCTTTTTCTAATTTCACCTATGAAACATGCAAGCCCTGATGTATAGGGAATACATCTCTCTCAGAGGCAGCAGCAATGGCTCTGTTTATTTGAGAAGACTGCCTTCTACTGAAGGCAACCAGGCACCTCAGCTGTATCAATTATGCGCTTGGAAAATGGGGCCAGCAAGTGTGTGCCATGAATAATGGATAGTGATGCTGTCCTGGGACACTGCATGCTCCAGGTTCACCTGGCTCCCTCAAGCTGCAGCTCAGTGTTGCTTTGATTTGGGCACTGTTGCTCTCTGCACGTGGTTCCCTGATCACACTCTGGTCAGTGATCTTAGCCACATGTTGGGTTTAATAGGTGTTTCTGGACTAAAGCTCCATGCCTAGAAAGTAAAATCTGAATGTCCAGTTCCGTTTTTCTATTACAGCTGTCTTCTCCTTCCCTCTTCCTGTGGCTTCTCCATAACCAAAAATGCTAAAACAGTTTTTGAGCTTGCTGAAAGATCTCAAAAATCACATCTGACTGGGAGTTTAGATCTCTCTTAGCTTTATCCCACAAAAGGCTTCGTGGCTCCATCACTTGTCTGTATTCATCTGAGAATGAGGGTATATGAGAGAACTGACAGGGTGTTCTAGGGTTTGAAGCCTTGCTTTGGATAGATGGTCTACCTTAGAGTCAGGTCAGAGGCATCTGAGGGTGCAGGGTATGGTGCCACACACCTGTAAGCTTAGCACTTGGGAAGTAGAGGCAAGAGTTCAAGGCCAGCCTGAGCTACTTTAGCAAGTTTGAAGTCATCCTAAGCTACATGAGATCCTGTCTCAAAAACACCCCCCAAAACAAACAAACAAACAAACATCCAAGAAATCTGGAGTAAGAGGAATTTGTTAAAGTTAAAGTTAACTATCAAAGTTAAAATATACAACTAGATCAGAGGTTTTCAACCTTCCTAACACTTCGACCCTTTAATACAGTTCCTCATGTTGTGGTGACCCCAACCATAAAGTTATTTTTGTTGCTACTTTCTGACTGTAATTCTGCTACTGTTACAAACTGTAATGCAAATATCTGTGTCTTCTGATGGTCTCAGGAGACCCCGTGAAAGGGTCCTTTGACCTCAAGGGGTCATGACTCACTGGTTGAAAACCTCGGCAATGGATGATTGCCAGTATCCCTAAGCTTCTTGTTTTGAACGTTGAGGTTCTCCTTTGTAGCCTGTGCTGGCCTTGAACTTCAGGTCCTTATGCCTCAGTCTCCCAAGTGCTAGGATTACAGGCGAACACCCTCGAGCCTTGCCTGGCTGCCTCCCTGGTGCAGTGTGCGTGTGAGGAGCCTTCATTGGAAGGGTTATGGGGGTGTAAAGTTGCAGATGGGCAGGTGCTGTGTGTGGGTGAAAAGATCCAGGCAAAGATGACTTGTGTGTATAAATATGGTTGACACCTATAGTTAAGATTCTGCAGAGATGGCTCAGCAATTAAGAGCACCGACTGTTCTTCCAAAGGTCCTGAGTTCAATTCCCAGCAACCACATGGTGGCTCACAACCACCTTGAATGAGATCTGGTGCCCTCTGCTGGCATGCAGGCACACGACTGTATACATAATAAATAAATAAAAATCTCTGTCTAGACAGTGTTTCTCCGTGTAGCTTTGGAGCCTATCCTGGCCCCCGCTCTGGAACCCAGGCTAGCCTCAAACTCACAGAGATCCACCTGCCTCTGCCTCCCGAGTGCTGGGATTAAAGGCATGCGCCACCAACCCCCGGCTAAAAAAAAAAAAACTTAAAAAAAAAAAAAAAAAAGATTCTCAACTGCTGAGGAACCACTTCAATGCGAAGCGGAAAAATGAGGACCAGGCTGAGCCTGGTAGTATACACGCCTGCAATCCTGGCCGTGGGAGGCTGAGGTAGGCAGAAAGGTCATGAGTTCCAGGTCTGCACGGGCTACACAGATTAGAACTCTGTCTCAAAAAACAAACAGGAGGCTGTGGCAGAGGTGCATGCTTTTAATCCCAGCACTCCGGGAGGCATTTACAGGCGGATCTCTGCTTTCAAGAGCAGCCTGGTCTACATAGTGAGTTTGAGGCTTGCATGGGCTACACAGAGACCCTGTCTCAAAAACAAAACCAAGTAGGGCCCAGGGAGCTAGCTCGGTTAGTTAAGTGCTTGCTGTAGGAGCATGAAGCCCTTTAGTTCAGTCTCTTGAACCCGTGTTAAAAACTGAGTGTGAACTGCCTGTAGACTAAGCCATGGGAAGGTGGGGACAGGTGAATCTTTGGATTTGGTGGCCAGCTAGTCTAGCTGGTGGTGAGCTGCAGGCCCCAATGATACTGACCCTGGCACTACACACACACACACACACACACACACACACAGTGTACACCCATGTCCATACATATACAATGTATCCCCTCCACGCATGGTGTACACCCACCCACCCGCACACACAGTATATACCCCACACACATATGCAGTACACAATCATTCATTCATGGGCAATTCATGGACTTTCTTGCCCGACTCAAGCTTGTTGCAGGAACAGTAGTGCCCTCTTTTGTTTGTCGTTGGGGTTGTCTAATATGTTTTTGCTGATTTTGTGCCAGGGTCTGAAATCAGGAGAAGAAATTGATCTGATTCTTTGTTTGAAATCTTAACCTCTTTTTAAACTTACAGCATTGTTTGCTCCGTCCAGTCTGACATCATCTGCTTGTCTGATTCTTTGTGTTTGTCACTCTCTAGGCAGCTATTTCGCCAGCCACTTCATCATGGGAGGAGAGAAGTTTGATTCCACGCATCCGGAAGGATACCTGTTTGGAGAGAACAGCGACCTGAACTTCCTAGGGAATAGGCCAGTGGCGGTAGAGTATAATCTTTTCCCTGACTGTGAAGCTTGGGGCTCAAGTGACCAATTCCAACAGCTCTGTGAAAAACAAGTTTGTTGGTACAGCAGGGGGCTTGAGGAGCCAGGTGTGCCACTAAGCTGGGGGAAACCCAAGATAAGTTGTTGCAGCCTGGGGGTTAGGGGTGGGAGGTCTCAGAGTTTGGAACTTTGCTGAGGATTCGCACTTTCCCCGAAAGGCTCTGACCGGTGCCCTCACTTGCATCCCTCCTGGTGGCACTGTTCCTGTTTGTCTGTCACTTTCTCTGTTTATGACCTGCCTCCCTCTTGTAAAAAGCAAGGACTGTGTTTACCATTGTACACCAGACCCAGCATAAAGCAGGATACCAAGTGATAAGCCTTGGTTAGTATTTGTTGAGTGAAAGAATGAAGTCTCCCTGTTTTTGAGTTGTGACAGGTGAGGCTGAGGCAAGAGGACCCCTGAGCTACAAGGACTGTAGCTACAGCCACTGCAGCTGGCTCTGTAGACTTTTATCTCTGTGCCTACATGAGCTGTTGTAAGCCCAGCTGCCAATGGGGGCTAGGGAGATGGCTCAGGGGTTAAGAGCGCTGGCTGTTCTTCCAAAGGACCCCGGTTCAATTCCCAGCACCCACATGGCAGCTCACAACTGTCTGGAATTTCAGTTCCAGGGGACTTGACACCCTATATGCTGACCTATATGAAGGCAAAACACCAATATACATAAAATAAATAAGTTTTGGAACAAACAGACAGCTACCCAGTGCTCTTGACTGATCTCTGTGTGCTAAGGAAGGCTCCAGGCACTGTTCTCCACATGCAGACCTCCCTGAAAGAGGACTGTTTTTAAGGGCCAGAGATTGAATCTACAGCCTTACCCATGATAGGAAAGTGCTACACATCTTCAGGCCTCAGAGGACTATTTTTATCTTGCTGGTTTTTGAGACAGGGTCTCTATTATATAGTTCTAGAATTCATTATGTAGACTGAGTTGGTCTCAAACTCGCTGAGATCGCACCTGCCTCTATTCCAGAGTGCTGGGATTAAAGGTGTGGACTACCAAACGCAGGTTTGTCTTTTTGTTTTGTTTTGTTTTAAACTGTTTCACTTGGTAGTTCAGACTGTTCTGGAACTCACTATGTGGCCTAGAACTCATGGTAGGCTTTCTGCTTTGGCTTCCTGAACACAGGAGTGCAAATCTGATCCACCGGGTCTGCTTGTCCCAGGACCTCCTATCACTCTCCTTTCATCAGTGAGAGACCTGGAGTTCTGAAAGTTGAGTAATGGCAGCAGCTGGCATTCAGGAACTATGTCCTAGGCCCTGGGCTCCTGCCCTGTTGTTCTACATAAGTTCTTCTCACCATTCATGAGGAGGTCTTCCTTGTTAAAAATCAGTTCTCTCTTCACAAACCTGCCATATGAGTGGGGCAGATAGAGCACACTAAGAGGAAATGTTTCCATAAGAGTAAAGATCTGGAGAAACTGAGTCCTGTAGGAACTGAGGCTGGGGGGGGGATCCTAGGGGGGCATTGCTGGGGTGCACAAGGGCTTGGGTGGGGCTTTGAGAACTGACTGTTGAATGGGCGGATGCGAAAAGGGATCTCACCTGGAGTGAGGCACTGAGCACAGGTCTAAAGGTATTCTTGTATTTGTAGACTTGGCAGACATTTACTGAACAACTACCATGTGCCAGGTACTGTGTGGTAGGTGCTGCTGTGGACCCTGGGCTGAAGTGACGGCCTTTGCTCCTCCTGAAACAAATGAGGAAGGGCAAGCTGGCCTATGGCAAAACAAGAGTGGAGAGAGAGTGGGCCACAGTACCTGAGAGGTGTCCATTCCTTAGGGCGACCTGGTGATGGACCTCTGTCTGAGCTTTCCTTTGTTTTTGAGATAGGGTTTCTCTGTGGAGCCCTGGCTGTCCTAGAACTTCCTTTGTACACTGGACTAGCTTCAAACTCACAGAGATCCGCCTGCCTCTGCCTCCCGAGTGCTGGAATTAAAGGTGTTCCCACCACCTCCCGGCTTAAACTTTAATTTTTAAAGTTTGTTCTTGGCAGTGGTAGTTTGCATCCTTTCTGTCTTGGGCGACCCCTCTTCTAGCATCGTACTTTTAGCACTATCGCCACAGCACTACAAATAAAGGTGCAGCCAGGAGTGCAGATGCATGTCTGTCAACACAGTATTTAGGAGATCTCCATGAATTCAAGGTCAGTTTGGGCCAATGACAAGTTCTAGGTTTGTCTGTGCTACATAAGAAACACACACACACACACACACACACACACACACACACACACACCCCTTCTGCTTCAGATCAGGTTATGCCAAGCAATATTTATTAAATGTCTTGATTTTGCTCCTGCTGCCTGAGCAGTTAGAGGAATGCTTTCTTTGTCTCTGAGAGGCAGGTGAGGGGGTTTCCTGACTCACCAAGTCAGCTTCTTCCTTTCTGTTTTCTTTCCTAAAATCAAAACAAAGAGATCAAGGGAGTAGATTGAGTGTGTGTGTGTGTGTGTGTGTGTGTGTGTGTGTGTCTGTGCGCGAGCGAGTGCGCGTGCACATGCACGTGTACATGTGCTTTTCAATGGCCTCTTCTGGCCGTAAAGATGACTTACAGATAAGCAAAAGTTTCTTACATGATGGCCTCCTTTCCCAAAGGTGAGTCACCTTGTTTACACCTCGATGGAGGCCCGTGAATGACTGAGCTCCTCCTGAATTACTAGGTAGCAGCCTTGACCTTAAATATGAGGCGCCCCCCACCCAAAAATTGACATTGGAGTTCTTGTTGGTATGTTTTTGTAGCAGTCACTAAGTGTATCTAATATTGAACAGAGATTTACTTTTTTGAATCTTACTAAATTGGGTATGGGTGTGGATGCTTGTAATCTGGCACTTTAGAGGCTGAGGAGGGAGAATGTCAAGTTTGTGGCCAGTCTGGGCTACATTTGGAGACACTGTTTCAAAAACCCAAAACAGCCCGGGCGTTGGTGGTGCACGCCTTTAATCCCAGCATTTGGGAGACAGAGGAAGGCAGATCTCTGAATTCGAGGCCAACCTGGAGGCCAGCCTGGTCTCCAGAGCGAGTGCCAGGATAGGCTCCAAAGCTACACAGAGAAACCCTGTCTCGAAAAAACAAAAACCAAACCAAAACAAAACAAAACAAAAACAAAAACAAAAAACTCAAAACAGGCCAGCTGTGATGTCTCACTCCTATAACTCCAACACTTGGGATCCTGAGGCAGGAGAATTGTGAGGCCAGACTGGGCTACAGTATGAGACATTGCCTCAAAAATGAAATAAAATAAAAACAGTGTATAGCCCGCTTCTCCTTTCCTTAAATGGCGTTTGCTAATAATGACCCACATGGACTGTCAGGCTGGTTGTCGTAAGTACTATATGTGTGTTGTTTCATTTTGTCTTCAACCTAATGAAGACTGCCAAGCCTGTGAGGGAGCCAGTCAGCATTAGAGCCCACTGTCCATTCTTCTGTTTTTGTCAGAAGGTCAGGCATACCTAGTCTTTTCTGAATCCCAGCCATGAACCATTTGTGTGGCTTGGATCACCAAGAGCATTTGTGGGTTTGGTTGAGCTCTCAGAGGAAGGACCCAGGATAGCCTCCTGGAGCACTCCCTCCCAGAACAAGCATGTGGTGTGTAATTCCATCTGCCCAGCTGACCTCTGGGCTTTGCCATGGTGCTCTTTATGTTTGATTAGGGGACACCCTGAAACTGAGAGTAGACTCGAAGCTTTAGTTCTGAAGATTGGCTTCTGCTCTCAAGTGACAGGACTGGGTGTCACCTAGTTAGCATCAGGTTGCAGAGGCAGAGGACAGCCTTTTAAAGCCATCCAGCAGCAGGGGCAAGAGATACTCCTTTTTTGGGGGGGAGGGCACAACAGGCAGAGAAATGTGTTGAGTGGTCATATTGAAATATAAATGCCACAGACTTCCTGGCTCCTGGGATTTGTAGGATTTAACGGGTTTTTCCTGTTGTTTCCGAATGTGCAGTTGAGAAGCCTTCCCTCTGCCAGAGCTAGCCATGGTTCTTGCTGGAGTGCTAGGAATCCACCACTTAGCATACTTCATCCAGGCAAAGTGTTAACCAAGTCTTCAGGGTTTGAGTGAATGAGCATATGTATGCATGGAAAGGTGGCTGACTTAAAGTCTTGTTTTTATCTTGCCATGAAACCATGACCTTGGTATCTCTCAGATTACCCACTTATAAAGTGGGGATGTTCTGACTTTAGAGGAATGTCATGCTTGGGAGATGTCCTCGGGTTGCTGGATGGAAAGCAGCCTGGAACAGTGACCGATATATTTGCCAATGTTTCAGCCAGTTACTCCTCCCCCTGCCTCTGATTAAGGGTGGATGGACCATCCATCCACTGTGTTTTTACTTTATTGCTGGCTTATCTTTACAGCACTCATGTTGAATGTATGGCCTCATGCACATGAAGCAAGCCACCCACCACTGAGCTGCACCCTTAGCACATGCATTGGGTTTGAAGTACTGGTTGGATTTTTTTTATTTTTGTTTTTTGTTTGTTTTTGGCAGAGTCTTCCTATGTAGCCCAGGCTGGCCTCAAACTCAAGATACTCCTGCTTTATCTCCAAAGAAGTGGGGTTACGAGCAAGCACCCCCATTCCCTGCCACTGCTGGGGCTTGTGAAGGCCTCTGGGAAGCACTGTGGAGAAATGCACAGTGAAGATCCCTCCCTGCCTGAAGAGTGCAGGCAGAGCAGCGCTGCCCCTTCTTCCCTTACTTAGGACAGGGTTACCTACTCAGTCGGGATTATTGGTCTCTGCAAGGCCTTCCTTCTCACTGCTGTATTCCTCCTGTGGTGGAACAGCCTAGAGCAGTTCCAGCACAGCCTCCAAATCCACAGAGAAACCCTGTCTCGAAAAACCAAACAAACAAACAAAAACCAAACAAACAAACAAAAAAACCCAACTTGGTCTGAGATGGGCACTGTGGTAAAAATCCGATAGTTTTAGCTACTTA